GAGAGGAGAGGAGAGGAGAGGAGAGGAGAGGAGAGGAGAGGAGAGGAAGAACAAAATTTTACCCAGGGGGAGAAACAGCACACTTACGATGAAGTTTTCTGTTAGGAATCAGTGTTAGACACTGGGGAATGGAGATACAGCTTTGGAGACCTGTGCTTGGAGAAGGGGTGGGGAATTTAGGATGGAAAGAAGAGGCTGATCAATGGGAAAAGTGAGGGTCGTTGGGACCAGAACTGGAATCACTGTCTCTTCCCTCCTACTCCCAAGGCAAAGTGCCATCTAGGTGGTGTCCTAGAAGCTCAAGGTGCTGGGTGGCCTTAGATTAGCCAGACCCCTGAGAGAACAACGACATGTCTCTAGTAGGATGCTAAAGGTAGTAGATGCAGGATCCTAGCACTGAGAAGGTACAATCTCATGAAGCCCAGAAGACCAAACCCTCTTTTGGACAGAGTTTCTCATGCCCTGTATGAATGGGCAACTGATCTTCTCCCATTAGATCTCTTGGAAATTAGCAGGGCAATCGTGAACACCCTTGGAGTAAGGGACCACACAAGAAAAATCAGAAAGGATTTGGGGTGTTTTCCACCTGATTGTTTTCTGCCAGCCCTTCAGCATTTCCTTGGCATCCCTTAAGTCTGTAAGAATGACTGGGCACCCCGAGCTGCAGGGGCAGGATTTCCTACCTGAAGTTCATTGGCACCGTTTCTTTCTTCTCTTTAATGTCTCCACTGGCAATGACACATGGTATCACATATTTATGAAACTCTTCTTGGAAATTTCTAGTCAAGGTGGCTTTTGCAATCAGGTATTCTTCTGAACTAGAACAAAACAATCCAGGCATTTAAGGTAGTCCACAGCAGAGAGCCCCTGGCCCAGGGTGATCAGCGCTAGAACCTGACAGGGCATGGGCACCTTTGTTTATCTTCACTGCCTCTGGTGCTCACGACAAGAGAAAGAACAGAGGTTGTGGCATCCCTTTATTAATGCTCATGCCAGGAGTTCATGGTCATGATAGAGGGAAAGAAGGTAGGGAGAGGGGTGTGGGCAAAAAGACATGGTCTATTATTCCAACCAACTTGATCACAAATTGTTTGGCAGGAGTGGGGGTGGGGAATCTATTAGTTTGTAATGACTATTTAGAAGGTTGTCTGCTAGAAACAATAGGGAGTTTTTGGAGATTTCTGGGCAGGGGAATGCCATGATTGGACCCAAGGAAAATGTATTTTGGTAGCTGTGTACAGCATGCATTGCAGAGAGGAGAGAGTGAAGACTGAAGAACATTTAGACTACTATGATAGTCCAGGCGGGAGATGGTGAGGGGTTGAACTAGGGGGTTGACTGAGTTGAGAAAAAGACTTTGTGGAAGTAGGATTGGAAAGATTTGGGAACTGACTGGATAGAGGAGGGTGAGGGAAAAGGGACGAGTCGAGGATGACTTCAGGGGTCCTGGCTCAATGTTTACACTTCAGTGAGTATTCTTAAACTTGGGTCCTCGTTGCTGGGTTGTCTTGGCCACAGCTTCTCAACGAAATGGGATAGCTCCGTCCTGGGGCTTTTCTTCTGGATCGCTAGTTGGCTGCTAACCAATCAGTATGGCGGGGGCTGTATTGTTTGGGGAAACAACCATCTGCCTATGACCAGTTGAACTGGCCAGTGTAGATGTAGATAAGGAGGTTCTCTGGTCAGGCGGTTTCTTTGGGAAGTGGCCAAAAACATTATCTTCTCATGTCACCAGTAACTTTTAGTTTTCCATAGCTTTCCCAGAAGATCAGTTTGGGTCTTTTAGTCAAAGGTTTTGTGGAGGCCAGAACTGGGCATAATGTCACTTCACTCTTGTCTCCCTTATTAATAGCTTGGCCCATGAAAAAGGGCAGAGAGGGAACGAGCAGTGATGTGGCATTAAATTTCGGCTCCTGTGCTCCCTTTGGGTTCAAAGGCTCACGCTAGCTTTTGGAGACCACATATGAAATATCTGATCATCCATAATGGGTTCATAAATGAAATAACAATAAGATAACTAATAACAAAATCACAATAAAATAACAACTATCATCTCAGTGCAGAGGGTTCCTTGGTCTATATATCCAGCTCTAGCATCTCTCCTGAACTTCGGTCTTCCATCACCAACTCTTCCCTGGACATTTCAATAGAATCTTTTTCAGCTATGGGAAGGTTACACCCTAACAACTGGTCAAGGGAAGCCGAAAGCCAAATGACTGACCCATGAGTGTATGATGTCGTTCATTCTCGGAGTGTGTACCACTGATAAACCTCAGTAGATGCTGGGTACATGAAATCCAGTGCTGAATCTACAACATTCTACTACAATAGTCTCAGGGGATTTTTCATTGCCCTCCTCCCTAAAGCGTTCTTTCAGTTCCAGAGTCACTTAGATTCCTTAGCATTCTTTCTCCAGTGTAGAGTTTGCTATGGCAGAAAACATGCTGATACCATTAACTGAGGTGCTGGACGTGGAGTCAGGGATACTTGGGTTCAAATCCTGTCTCAGACACTTATTAGCTGGGTGACCCTGGGCAAGCCACTTAACATTTCTGATCTTCAGTTTTCCCTATGTGTAAAATAAGGAGGTTGGAAATCCCCCCACCTCTAAATCTCATATGCTCTGAACCTGTGAGGACCCTTCCAACTCAAAATCCTGGGAAACTGTGAACTGAGAGCTTTATAAACAGCTTTTGATGAAAGGCTATCTCTTTCAGAGCTCAAAGAATGAAAAACTATACCATAATTAGTAGCACATTAGTATAAAGAGTACAATTTGCTTTTTCCACCTCTAAGCCAACGGGAACCAGCCATTGCCATCATACACTATGAGGTCACCTGGCACTGACGAGTCCTTAGTTTGCTAACAGGCATGGTTGGTCTTTTCTCAAAACACCCAAATTGGGGGCCCAGATGTGATTGGAGAGGGAAGGAATGCTTGGTTCACTCTCCTATCTGCTGCCATAGCACTAGCAATGCCTTGCTCTAACATCTGTTGAATAAACATCTGTCGAATTAAATGGAACCCACACCACATGGGAACTTACTCCGTCATGATTTTCTGCTGTTTGCGGCGTTCCTTTTTGTGAGGAGAGCGGGGTTTGAGCCACCGGACAGCTGCCTTGAGGGAAGCAGTCAGCATCATTCTTGACCCTTTCTTCGAGGATGTTTCCTTTTTAGACTACAAGCAGATAAAACAATGAGGAAAAGCCCATCTCTTCAGGCTGCCTTCTCTTTGTCATTAGAGGAAGAACAGATGGAAAAGCGCTTTGAAGGTGAAAGGCAAGGGATTGAGAGGGGGAGGTTGGAAGCCCGTGCAGTCCTACAGAGGAAGATGGGGCCACTTAACACAGAGGCTCCACCAGCTTTCCAGGGGGTCTCTCCCAAGTCCCTAACTGTAGGGCAGCTAGGTCGAGCATTGGCCCTCGAGTCGGGAGGACCCCTGTTGGAATCTGACCCCAAACACCTACTAGTTGTGTGACCCTGGGCAAGTCCCTAACCCTGATTGCCTCAAAAAAAAAAAGTTTAAAAAAAGTCCCCAAATCCAGAAGCCTCCTGACACAAATGGGCCAGTCAGCATTCCAGGCTGACAAACACAATGATCAATTAGCCTTTTAAATTGCAAAGACATCAAATATTTATACCCAGAAGTCTTATTGGTTGGGATCCTATAGAATGTTTATCTGTTATGGTGCAGTTAGATGTTTGGGCTGGAAAAAAAAATTAACAAGTTGTTGTTTAGTCGTTTTTCAGTTATATCTGACTCTTTTTAACCCTTTGGGGGTTTTCTTGGCAGAGATACTAGAGGGGTTTTGCTATTTCCTTTTCAAGCTCATTTTACAGATGAGGAAACTGAGGCCAACAGGGTTAAGTGACTTGCCCAGGTGTCACACAACTAGTAAGGGACTAAGGCTGGATTTGAACTCAGGACTTCCTGACTCCAGGCCTGGCATGCTATCCACCATGCCATGTAACTGCTCTCAATTAGCAACAATAAAGAATTTATAATGCAATAGTGTGATGTGTCACTAGCCCTACACTCCTAGGGCTCCCTCCAATTTGGTTCTTTGCTTGCCTACACTTCTAAGTCAATAGGAACCACTCATTGAAATCACACATTAAAAAGTTGCCAAGCACCAATAAGCACTTAGATTGCTAATGAGCCCTGAAGCTCTTTCTTCTCTTTAAAATGACCCTAACTGGGACCCCAGATGCAATGCGAGAAACCTGCCCGAGACAACCCTCGTTCATGAGAATTACTCAAGTGGTGCTTGTTATCTCTTGAACAAGGTACAAAGATGAATCACACACAGCTGGCCTGGTTCCCAGCAACTAAATCTGTGGTGCCTTTTAGCATTGATTCTGCCAGGACATTCAAAAATAAGTGGGCTCGGGGCAGGCAGTGTGTGTAAAATATTCCCTAGCCAGGGAAACTCCTTCACTTCCCATTCCACTCACTTGAAATATGTGATTATTTACCCAGGGTTTGCAAACAAATAAGGCCAATGGTAATGTGGATTCATCTCTAGATGGATGACTTCCTGGATCTCAATACTGGCCTGAAGCTCTCTCCCAGCCACAGTCCCAGGTCATCAATTACCAACTGGATTTTTCTAATATTGCCTCTTTAAACTTGTGTTCAAAACAGAAATCATCATTTCCTCCTTCCTCTCCCTCTAATCTGTCTCTATTCCTCATTTCCCCTTTCTGCCAAGGGTACCACTGGTGTTTTTAGGCACCTGGGTTTCCAAACTTGGAGTGATCATTGATTCTTCCCTCTCCCCAGCCCCCAACTTCTAACTAGTTCTGAAGTCTTGTCAATTTTGTCTCTGCGACATGTTGGTTTGTCTCCTTCTCTCCATTTATGTGCCTGTCTTTCTAGTTCAGGTCCACATCATTTCTTGTCTGGACTGTTGTGATAGTCTCTTAATTTGCCTCTCTGCCTCAAGTCTGTCTCCTTACCAATCTATTCTGCACAGTTGCCAAACTGATATTCTTTCATCAGGGTCTCCGCCATCTAATTCCCAGGCTCCCAAAGTTCTGATGACTGGCCCTTGCCTCTAGGATCAAAAACTCTTCTGGTGGGCATTTAAAGCCCTTGGAAATCTGACTGCTCTACCTTTCCAGGCTTATTACAGATGACTCCCACTTATGCACTTCATATTTTAGCTGCGCCTCACAAACAACATTCCATCTCCTCTCTCTGCACCTTTGCATTGGCTATGCCCCATGCAGTCATTCCTTCCAGACCCATGCCTCTTAGTAGAATAGGGGGAGAGGAGGGGGAGAGTTATCTTTACCTTCACCAAACCACTTGATGGTAAACCACAGAAAGTAAGAGTTAAAGTTTTAAATGAAATGCAAAAACATATACATATTATACCCTTATAAAGTATTGAGTATTTTCCTGATGGAATTGGAAGGGTCATCATTGACTGGCTATGATCCTGGTAGCTTTTAAAAAGTGAAGCTTGCCAGCCCTATAGACAGTCAGCAGGATGGATTTCTCTTCCCTCCTTGACTCCATCAGCCATGGGGTCTTGAAGCAGAGCAACCCTCTTAGCAGAAGAAGAGGTCATATTCATCAGGGAGGGGCAAGAGAGAGAACCAAAGGAGGGGGGGAGAGGGAGAGGGGAGAAAGAAACACACAGAGATACAGAGACAGAGAGAGATAGAGACACAGAGACAGAGAGGGGGGAAAGGGAGAGAGAGAAAGAGAGGCACAGAGAGACAGAAAAAGAGAGAGGAAGAGAGAGAGAAAGAGGAAGAAGGAGAGAGTGAGAGAAAGAGGGAGGAGGAAGAGCAGGAGGAGAGAGGTGTGAAGACAGAAAGGAGAGAGAGACAGAGATATAGAGAGACAGAGATAGAGACAGAGAAGGAGAGAAAAGGAGAGAAGAGGAAAGAGAGGAGGGAGAGAAGGAGAAAGGGAGGGAAGAGACAAAAGAAAGAGACAGAGACAGAGAGAGACAGAGAAAGTCAGTGGAGCCATGTGGTTCCACATGGCTCCAAGGTGTGTGATCCCTGGCAGCAGAGAAGAGAGCAGAAGAAGGAAGAGCCAGGCCTGCAGCGAGGAGCAGGCCCAGGAAGTCCAGCTGAGTGATAGGTCTAGCAGCTTCAGGATGTTCCAAGAGAAAGGACACCCAAAACCAGTCGCCTTAGCATCACGTATTCTTTGCAAGTGTCTCATTTCCACTGGACTCTTACATGTGAGAGTCAGGGATACTTGGGTTCAAATCCTGTCTCAGACACTTATTATCTGGGTGACCCTGGGCAAGCCACTTAACATTTCTGATCTTCAGTTTTCCCTATGTGTAAAATAAGGACGCTGGACTCTGTGATTTCTGAAATCCCACCCACCTCTAAATCTCATATGCTCTGAACCTGTGAGGACCCTTCCAACTCAAAATCCTGGGAAACTACGAACTGAGAGCTTTATACAGCTTTTGATGAAAGGCTATCTCTTTCAGAGCTCAAAGAATGAAAAACTATAGCATAATTAGCATATTAGTATAAAGAGCCCAATTTGCTTCTTCCACCGCTAAGCCAGTGGGAACCAGTCATCGCCACTCTTTCCACTGGCACTGCACATTTTCAGGAGAGTATGCCCCAGGTTTGTTGGAGAATGTTTGGTGGCTACTATCCTTATTATGTCTTTGCTTTGAGCAAATTGGGTCTACTGGCTATCAAAAGTAAGGGACTTGTGAGCTCTGCTTTTAGAAATGTGAACTCAAGTGCAGCTAGGTGGTGCAGTGAGTAGAATACTGGCCCTGGAGTTAGGAGGACCTGAGATCAAATCCGGCCTCAGACACTTATGAGCTGTGTGACCCTGGGCAAGTCACTTAACCCTAAAAAAATGTGAACTGAAGAGTACCCTTGAACCTGAGGCTAGTGGTCACCTTCTGGGGGATCCAGTCCCCAAGTGAGAGTTGGGGGGATTGGGGGGACATACCCTAGAAGGGATGCTACACCAGATCCTCTAATCCCTTTCAAAGCTCAGGTCAAGAACCACCTCTCACATGAGATCTCCTGGTGCCCTCATGTCCCAATTCCTTTGTATTGACCTGTATACTTTGTGTATACTTGTAGATACTTTGTAATTTTTTAATGTGTTTCACCCTATTGAAAGTAACCTCCTTGAGGGTAGAGACTTGTATTTTTTTTCTTTGTTATTTCCAGCACCTAGCACACAGTAGGAACTGAATAAACACTTGTCCATTGATTTAGATAAAGTTTTCCATGGCTTCCTATTGCCTAAAGCTTAAATTAGAAAAATTCTTAGCCTGCCATTCAGGGCTTTCCACAACCTGGTAACTTTCTAGCCTTATTATATTGAGTACTATGTTGATGTCAGCAAAATGGGACTTCTGGCTGGTCTGCAAACTTGACGTGCAGTCTCCTTGCATTTCAGTGGGATGTGGCTCATACTTGAAATATCTTTCTTCTTTATCCCTGGGTTTAAGAATTGCCCTCTTCCTTTAAGGCTGGGCTCAGATGTCCCCTTACCCTGGGAAACCTTCTCTAATTCCCTTAGATGAAAGTGATTTTCTCTTTCTCAAATTATCCTGGAGTACCTTGCTTAGACCTTTCCTTTAGCCCCCTCAGACCCTACTCTCTGTGTGTGTGTGTGTGTGTGTGTGTGTGTGTGTCTAAGGATTCAGAGGGGGTCAGGTAGCAGAGACTCCAAAAACCCTTCTAGAAATAGGGAGGGAAACAGGAAGGGAGATAGTGAATGATGTTTGTTGTTGTTAAGTCATGCTTGACTCCTCTTGACCTCCTTGTACTTGTCCTTGGGGTTTTCTTCGCAAAGACATTGGGAGTGGTTTGCCATTACCTTCTCCAGAGTGTCCCCATTTTATAGATGAGGAACTGAGGCAAATAGGGGTTAAGTGACTTAAGGGTCACACAGCTAGGAAGTGTCAGAGGCTGGATTTGAGCTTGGGTCTTCCTGATTCCAAGCCCAGGGCTGCACGCACTATGGCACCACCATGGTCAGGTAGTGGCCAGTTTACTTCTTCTACACCACATGCAATCACCTACTATGCCTAAATCTCTGGGTGTCTGAGGAAGTGATTGAAAAAGTCAGGGAGTAGGGGCACAGGCAAAGTATAAGGAGAGGAATTTCTACAACCGAATATTTCATTTCATCCTCTGGACTAAAGGAGCTGGAACCTTGCTGAGGATCTGGCTGCCCCCAGTGGCCAGTGGGATATTGTAGTGTATTTTAAAAAGTGGTTATGGAGACAGGCCCAGCCCTAGACTAGAAGAAACAGCTTTAGTGGAGTACCCCCTGGTGGCTAATTCAGATATTACACCCTGAGTTAATTCAAGCAGCTAGCTTTTTTCCTTCCTTCCTTCCTTCCTTCCTTCCTTCCTTCCTTCCTTCCTTC